CATACACCAGTTCATCAGTTTCTACGAGTACAGTTCAGTGACATTGATTACATTCTTCCAGTTGTGCAACCATTCTCACCCTATAGAAGAATATCTTTATGACCTTAAGGATTTCATAGATAATTGACAAAAAGCACACATTGAAAGAAGAGATTGATAATTAAAATTAATTTTGTTCATCAAAAGATAGAATGAAAAATGTGAAGAAAAAAAAACTAAGGGAAGATACTTGTAATACATTATCACTTGCAAAAGATGAGTATCTAGACTGTAGAAGGAACTTACTCAAATAAAATAAAAAAAGGGACCCCCCCAAAAAAAAAAAAAAAACACACAGCAACAACAGAAAAAATAGAAGACACAAATAAGATCAAACTAGTAACTTGGGAACTGTAAATTTCAACCAGTAGATACCATTTGTACTCATTTAAAAGGTTGGAATATCAAGTGTGGGTGACAATGTGGAATCATAGGAACTCTTATACCCTGCTTTTGATATGATGAGCTATGTTGATTGATTTTTTTAATATTAAACCAACCTTAAATTCCTAGGATACACTCCACTTAGATGTGATGTATTATCCTTTTTATATATTGTTGGATTTGATTTGCTTATATTTTGTTAAGGGTTTCTGTGTTTCTTCATGAAGGATTAGTCTTAAATGCTTGGTGAACATACCAGTGAAACCATCTGTTTGTGTTTTATTTTGTTTTTGTGGAAAGGCTTTTAACTATTCAATTTAGTTAGTTAATGTGGGGTTTTTCAGTTAATTTCTTCTTAAGTTAACTTTGGTAATTTATGGCTTTCAAGAAATTTATTTTATCTAAATTGTTGCATTTGTTGGCATAAAATTATTCATAACATTATTATCCTTTAATATCTGTAGAGTCCGTAGTGATGTCACTTCTCTCATTCTCAATATTGGTAGTTTTTGTCTTTTCTCTTTTTTTTCTTGATCACTCTGGATAGAGGCTTATCAAACTTTGCTGATCTTAAAGAATCAGTTTTTTCCTTAGATTTTTCTGTTATTTTTCTATTTTCTTTCTCATCGATTTCTGCTCTTTATTATTTCCTTCCTTCCGCTTACGTTGGGTTTAATTCCCTCACCTTTTTTCTAGCTTCTTCAAGTGGAAGCTTAGATCATTAATTTAAAACTTTTCTTCTTTTCTAATAAAAGCATACAATGCTATATCATAACCATTTTGATAAACAATTTCACATTATAGTGTCAAACTTGGGTATACCTAATGACCCAGTAGCCCCACTGCTAGATGTCTACTCTAGCAAAATTTTTATATGTGCACCAGGAGACATGTACAAGCATGTTTGTAGTACCATTTTTTCATAATTACAAAAAAACTGGAAATAACCTAAATACCCCTTGACAGGAATATGTAAGCATGTCTATTGATTTATACCCTGGAATACTATACAGTAGTACACATGAATGTACAACGGCTGCATATATCAGTATAGATGAATCTCAGAAATGTTGAATGAAGAAAAAAGCAAGTTGCAAAGGAATGCTTACATTATGATGCCAGTTAATATAAATTTCAAAAAGTCACAATACTTATATATTTATTTTACTACATATATAGTGATAGAGGAGCCCTGGTGGTGCAGTAGTTAAGAGCTTGGCTGCTAACCAGAAGGCCGGCAGTTTGAATCCACCAGCCAGTCCACCGGCTCCTCCTTGGAAACCATATGGAACAGTTCTGCTCTGTCCTATAGGGTCGCTATGAGTTGGAGTTGACTTGACGGCAGTGGGTTTGATTTGGGTAGTGATAGAATGATAAACATATGTTCTTGTGGGGGAGGCAGGTAGTTAATACAAAAATAGCTAGAATTTGCATGCTGTTATGTGCTGGACAGTATTTTAAATACTTTACAATTATATACTTAATTTAATTATCATAATTAAATGAGTACCTGCTGTGAAGCAGGTAGTGTTATTATTCTTATTTGATAAATAAGGGAGCTAAGGTGGAAAACAATCTTAACTTCCCGAAGTCACACTGCTAGTAAGTGGTAGAGCTGGTAATCAAACCCAAGCAATCTGCCTCTAGAGTCCATTCTCTTAACCACTAAGCCATACTGGCCTGGAGAGGGGCGAGGGTTTCTCAGGCTGGGTGTTGGATACTTTGATGTTTGTTTATTATTCTTTAGTTTTTATTTTTGTATATATGAAATATTTAATTAAAAATTTTAAAGAAAAATAAAGGTAAAGCCATCTGAAAAGGAATATATATTGTTAAGTAACAAAACAGCTAACAAAGTATAGTACAGTGTTTCTAATCATCTACCTTTTGCGTAAAGGAAAGAAAAATTAGAATCTATATTTGTTTATGCATTAAAAAACTCTGGAAAGATACCCAAAAAATTAGTGACCATGGTTACCTGGGAGTCGGGGTGGGGGTCTTGACTGGGTTGATGTGAGATAGGGATGACAGGGAGACTTTCTGCTCTATGTATTGTTTTAGTTTTTTGAACCATGCAAATAAACCACCTATTCTAAATAAGTAGACAACTAATTAACTTTAAAAAATGTGTTTAGCATACATAGCTGTTTTAGGTACATTCAGACTTATACTCTTTTTTTCTGGAACTCAAATTTATTTATTTGTTGGATATAGGCTATTTCCATTTTTAGGAGATTTAGTCTTATAATCTCTTGAAACAGAGAAATAAAGAAATTCTGGGAATAGTATACTAATAATAAGGACTTATGTTCAGTGAGAACTTTTTCAGTTAAATTCCCAAAGTCTTTCCAGAGTGTCCTCTTTTCCAGTGCTGTTTCAATTCTTTTTTTGATTACTTTCTGCTTCTTTTGGATGGTGTGCATTTGTAGGTGGAATTTTCCTTTTAATGAGAAGAGGTGTTTTAGCTTTAGGCAACAGCAGGTGAGAGGCAGTGTCACTGCAGAGCCACATAGGAAGTTGGAGTAGATGAACCCTATTCTAGAATTGAAAAATGTACTATGAATATCCCACATTTAAAATCCTGACTTCCTAGGGCTTCTTGTTAATAATATAACCTTATATTTAAACAGCATTGTAATTTAAAAGTGCTTTGGTACTGTGACTTTGAGCTTTTTGACATCATTTACTTAAAAATATGAAAAGTTAGTGTGTAGGTGACTTAAAGTGTTCCTCTTTTTTTAATTTGTCTTTTTTAACATACATTTTATAAGCATGGTAAAAATTATTGTTTAAACCAAAATCTGCAGACTTTAAGATGGAGATTAATAGTATAATTATACTATTTTAAAGAAATGGTTAAAGCCACGTCCTTCAAAATTGATCCAAAATTAAATTGAAAAGAAAGTTTTTATAGTTAATCTTTTGTAGGGCTGTTGAAAGAAATGTGATATACAGCATGCTTTCTCAACCCTGGCTGCATATTAGAATCATCTGTGGAGCTTTTAATAAACATCGATGCTTAGGCCCTACCCAAGAGATTCTGACTTAATACTTATAACCTATTCATATTTTTAAAATCTGTACATTGTGAATAGCTATGAAGATAATGTTGGTGTCATAAGTATACTGTTTTGATGGAATTCTGAGCAGTGATAGTATACTATACTATCCATACATTTCTGTGTTGAATGGTATGTGACAACTCTTGTCATAGGCATTTTTTTTTTTCCTACTCAGACTGCTGATAATATTAGCAAAAAAAAAAAACTTCTTAAAAACCACTTTAAAAATATAGTTCTTGAGGTCTTAAAAGTTTGTGAGCAGCCATCTAAGATACAGCTGTTGGTCTCTTCTTGTCCAGAACAAAAGAAAAAGAAGGAAACCAAAGATTCAGAGAAGAAAGTAGTCTACAGGTCTACTAGTCTGTATGAACCACGGCCTCATCTATACTGAGACCAGAAGAACTAGCTGGTGCCCGGCTACCACTGCTGACTGGATCATTCTGATTAGGGCCACATCTGATCCTGATAGAATGAGAGAAAGCTGTGGAACAGAACTCAAATTCTTAAAAAGTCTAGACTTACTGGACCAGTTGAGACTAGAGGGCTCCCCAAGACTATTGCCCTGAGGTATTCTTTAAACCTGAAACTGAAATTATCCTTTGAGGTCCCCTTTAATCTAAATAACAGATTGGCTCATAAAATAATGAATATCACCCATGAGTGATGAGCTCCTTTAAAAAATCATCTATATGAACTTTGAGGGACAGAGTAGCAGGGGCGGGGGTCTGAGGACCAAGCTTTCAGGGCACATCTAGGTCAGTTGGCATAACAAAGTTTATTAAGAAAATGTTCTGCATCCTACTTTGGTGAGTGGTGTCTGGGGTCTTAAAAGCTTGCAAGCGGCCATCTAAGATGCATCAATTGGTCCCAACCACCTGGAATAAAAGAGAATGAACACCAAAGACACAAGGAAAGTATTAGCCCAAGAGACAGAAAGGGCCATAAACCAGAGACTTCATCAGCCTGAGAGCAGAGAAACTAGACGGTGCCCGGCTACCACCAATGACTGCCCTGACAGGAAACACAACAGAGAGTCCCTGATGGAACAGGAGAAAGGTGGCGTGCAGAACTCAAATTCTAATAAAAAGACCAGACTTAATGGCCTGACTGAGACTGGAGGAACCCCGGAAAGCATGGCCCCCGGATTCTCTTATCAGCCCAGAACTAAAACAATTTCCGAGGCCAACCGTTCAGACAAAGATTGAACTGGACTGTGGGACATAAAATGATACTCGTGAAGAGTGTGTTTCTTAGCTCAAGTAGATACATGAGACTAAACGAGCAGCTGCTGTCCGGAGGTGAGATGAGAAGGCAGAGAGGGTTAGGAGCTGGTTGAATGGACATGGGAAATCAAGGGTGGAAAGGAGAAGTGTGCTGTCACAGTATAGGGAGAGCAATTAAGGCCACATAACAATGTATGCATAAGTTTTTGTATGAGACTAACTTGAAATGTAAACTTTCACTTAAACTACAACAATAAACAACAACAACAAAAAATCATCTATATGAGACCAAATGGTCAAAAATTACTCCAAAGCAAAGATGAGAAGATAAGGAAACTAGAGTACTGGAAATGATACAACCAGAACGGAATGAATGGAAGTGATGACACATTGTGAAAAATGCAGCCATATTAACTGAATAATTTGTGCAGAAATTGTTAAATGGAAATCTGATTTACTGTGTAAACTTTCACCTTAAACACAATAAAGTATAGTTCTGTGTGACATTTGGTTACTAATGTTTGTAAAATGCCCTTACAGATGCTGTTGTAGTGAATTTTATTTGTAAAATTAGTATGTAACTCGAACTGATGTGTTATTATAGTTTTAGATACTTTAGAATAAAAATAATACACATGTTTAGGAAAAATCACAAAGGTTGAGATGCTTTGTAGTATTAAATTAATGTATAAAGTATGTAGTTAAATGAGCTTATGTGGCTTGTGATGAATGTACTCCAGTTACGGAGAAAAATGCTAACAAGATTTAGCAAACATAAGCATTTATTTATGTATTTTAATTGTTTTTTAGGTGAAAGTTTACAGCACAAATTAGTTTCTCTTTCACAAATTTATACACAAATTGTTTTGTGGCATTGGTTGCAATTCCTGCAATGTGTCGGCACTTTCCCTGTTTCCATTTATACCCCGGGTTCCCCATGTCCATTCTTCCAGGTTTCCTGGCCCTTCCTGTCTTCTTGTCTTTGCTTTTGGAGAGGTGTTGCCTATTAAGCCTCCTATACTTAATTGAACTAAGAAGCACATTCCTCATGTGTGTTATTGTTTGTTTTATAGGCAGTTTACTTTGTTTTAGAGGATTTTTGGTACATCTATTAATCTATATAAAATTCAGCATTCAAATATATCGTAGTAGATTAGGAATTACATCAGTCAAAATAATGCCATAGTTCTCTGACACCTGGGGAATGAGTCATTTTAGAAAATAGTGTTTTCTGGTAAGTTGAAAAATTGCCCCTTTTGCACCCCAATAATTTTTGGATGGAAACTTTTCTAAAGTGGTTGCACATTTTCCTGTCACCTTAAATAGAATAAAAACCTTTTCTTAAAGCCCTAGTTGTATTCAGTAATAGAGTAATGCACTTAGGGGCATTAGATGTTGTAAGTTTTTGCCCTAGTACTGAGTGACTTTAGATTATTGTGTTTTAAAATTACTGGTGTATGTGTTTTTGTAGTGTTTTGATTCTTATGGGTTATGTTAGTTTTCCTTGTTAGCCATTCCTATAGGAACTGTTTATAAACAAAATAACTGAACGTATATGTAAAGCAAGAGCCTGAATCTGTGAGAAGGCATGTGAATATTACAGTGCATGAACTTGGGCAACTGCTCCCACACTTCTCTTCTGTCCGTCCTGATTATCAGGTGAATATGTTACACCTACCCCTCACTTATCGACATGGTTAGATTCTGAAGACCAGGTCATTATGGGAAACTCAGCATTATGTGAAAATGGAGGATGACCACATCAGATCCCAAAATGGAGGATGACTACATCATTATATAACTGCCAAATTACATCATTGCATAACTGCCAAACCATTGAGAATCATGGCCCAGCCAAGTTGACACATAACCACCATCACAGCCAGTGTTACTCTTGCTTCGTACCTCGGTGTTCATTACTGGCAGATACAGGTCATTAATGCGCAAGATAGTTGGCTAGGAGATTTTTTACTGTTGTCATAAATGTGAAATGTCAGATAACAATATAGTCAATAAGTGAGGAGTAGGTGTATGAGTAAAGTGGCATTATTGGAATCTTTGATAAATATGTTGATGAAACCTTTTCGGAAAATGTTTAGGTCTTTTGTGAAATATCTTAACAAATGGCAATGAGGCATCTCAGCTTTATCTTATAAGTTATTTTTATGTTACATGTTCAGTTGAACTATGAACCTACATTTATTGGAAAATATATGATAAATACTTTTATAGTTCTTCCAGCAAACGTTTATCAGTTTTCTACTACCAGGTGCTGGAGATGAAAAGTAAAAGCGCCTGAGTTCTTGGAACCTAATGTCTATTTGAATAAGACAGTAAAAAACCTTTAAGTATAGTATAATAATATTTTAATAGTGGCCTATGCCTGGATGTTGTGATGTTACAGAAGAGGAACATCTAAACCAGTGTATCAGTTTATGCTAGTTTGTACTGTGGTAGTAAACAACTCCAAAGCCTCCGTTACTTCGAACAAAAAGATTTATTTCTTGCTCCTGTTACATGTTCAGGTAGATTGTAGCTCTGTCCACAGTTGTTCTCCTTGCTGGGATTCAGGTTGAAGGAGCAGCCTCTATGTGGCCATGTTTTGGTGGTGGAAGTTAAACAGCCATGCAGAACATGGAAATACTGTTAAAGCTTCTGTTCAGAGGTGGCATACATCACTTCCATTCACATTTCATTGGCCAAAGCAAGTCACATGATCAAACGTGATGCAATTGGACAGGGAAGTATAATTAATACTTGTATAGGGAGGGGCAGTGGAATAATTGAAGACAGTCATACATTCTGCCACATTCACCTTACTTCACAGCTGAAAGTGAAAAGGATGTACCTATGGGACATATCAAATAGAATGCATTTTAGCAAAATAAAAAAGCCCTTTATGAGCATTGTAATATCAATAAGGTAGATGATTTGTATCTACCTTGAAGATGAGGACATTAAGGCATAAAGAAATTACAATTTAAAGTAGTATTGTCCTTTTTATGAGAGAGAGAAGACTATATCATTAATCAACTACTTAGTATCTTTTGTGAATAACTCTGAGATCCGACACTGAGTTACAGGGTTAGTGATAAGTTGTTGTTGTTTTTCTTTTTTTCCCACACATCTCTTCAGTCTACTTTATCTTGCCTATTCATCTGCTTTGTCCTGGACTGAATCTATATCAACCATATTTTCAAACAAAAAACTGGGATATATTAGTCCACAGGGTCAGATATAAGAGCATTTAAAATAGGGAGTGACATAAATTACTTAACATTTTCTTGTTGGGCATCCCTGTGTTGAAATGTTGAGGTTGAAATGACCAATTGGTAAGGCAGTGAACAAGGAGGGATTAGAATGGCTTCTCAGGAGGTGACATCTGAGACAAGTCTTAAAAGAAGAGCAGGGGATTGGCATGCAAATGAGAGGAAGTACATTCTCAGTCGCACTAATAAATATCATGAGTGATAGCACCAAGGAGTAAAAATAGGTGGATTGTTTGAGAAACCTTGAGTAATTTTGTGTGACAGCATACGGGGGAGGAGGCAGGAGATGAGGTAGATTGGGACCAGGTTGGGAAGGACTTTAATGTCATACTGCTTTTTTCCCTTTAGGACAGGTAATGAGTTTCAAAAGATTTTAAAGTGTACAATGGCATGATTTTATTTTTAGAACAGCAGTCTTGGTGGTAATGTGGAAGACATTGGAATTGTGCCTGGAGGCAAGGACACCAGGTAGAGTGATGTAGTGGAAGGACAGTTTAAAAAAAAAAACCTATTGCCGTCGAGTCGATTCTGACTCTTAGCAACCCTATAGGACAGAGTAGAACTGCACCATAGAGTTCGTGACAGGACAGTTAGAAGAAATAAATCCCTGGAGTGCAACCAAGTCATCTGGACATAAGGAGACAGATTCAGGAGTTATCAGCCAATGTAGTGAAGGCTGCAGGAAATGCATTCCCACAGAAGTTTGTATATCTCTGGAAAACTAGAGGCTAGGGAAGAACCCTGGGGATAGTCAACATTTGAACAGCTGGCAGAGAAAAAGAAAACAGACTTGGAAGAACAGCCTGAGAAGTTGTAGGATCAGGAAAGATTTGATTTATATGGTACAAGGGAGGGGAGAGTTTTTGAGAAGGGAGTTGTTAATAGCATTCAGGTGCCACCTTATAAGCGCTGAAAGTGATCCTTGGGTTTGGCAGATAGGGATCTGTTCAGTGGCGTGGAAGCCATTCAGTAGAGTAGTGGGTATGGAAGTTCATTGGCAGTGGGTTAAGAAGGCAGCAAGTTAGTGAGTGTAACACCTCTGTAAGTGCTGGACTGTGAGTGGTACAGAGGGTAATTAAGGACATTTTCATATGAAGGATATGTAAATATTTGTGTACTTCAATGATAATTTGTTTTTTTCTCCAGTTTCAATTGTTGCTATTCCTGAGGAGCCTGTTGAGGTTCCCAACATGAATATGGGGAAAATGTAGTATGAGAAAAGCTATACAGGTTAAGCACTCCATGTCCAGATTAATTACTCAATAGACTGTCAAATGTAAGTTGAAATCTTACTGAGTTAAATATAATTTGTGCAAATGGGACATGAGTCACAGATGTCAAAAATATACAGGAACTATAAAACTTTGTAATTCAGCACAAATTAGAAATTCAGTAGCCATAGATGATATTTTCTAGTACTGTTTTGGTGTTCTGAGTTTTTTAAGCTAGGGAATTTATCTTTGCATTTTTGTTGGTAAATAAGTTCTGTACAAAGTTTGTATATAACGTATATGTGTATATAGTACATACTGTGTTCAAAGCATATGAATGAGAGGCTCTCTGGCGGCTGCTTAATCTAGGGGTGACTGATAGTTTATATGTGGCCACAATTAAAAATTATATCATCGATCTTATAGTATGCAACAAAAAGCTTAAATGTTTTAGTATCCAGCCTGAAAAAAACCTAACTTTTATAAAGGGATTATAGAAAGATATAAGCCAAGGTCAAAAAATTAAATAAATAAAAAGCAAAACACCATGGTAAAATCTTAGTCTTTTTGCTGTAAAAAATATGTTTTGTGAATTATCAAATTCTATTACTTAATTTTAAGTTTCTTTGGTCACTTATTTTCTGTTTATATAATTTTATAATAGCTTTCCAGTTTTGTATTCTTGTTTTTATAGGTACTAAGTATGTGACTATTTATTAATGTACTTTCTACCTTAGGTAAAAATGATGATATTAAACAATTATTAATTAAACATGTAAGACTAATAATTCCCCTGAATTTATACTATATAAAGTGAGGTCATGTGCATGGAAGGAAGTGTTTTATAAATTAGGTAGTTAAAAATTAAGTAGTTAATTTTTAAGTGTGGAAGAAGTATTAAAATTCAATCTAAGTTTAATAGAGAAACATAATTAAGTTACCTTAGAGCAAAGAGGTCAAATAAAAATTTCAACTTCAAAGAACTATTTCCATGAATATGAAGATAATATAGATGTACTGAAAGTATGTATTTTAAATACATTTCATGAGTTCTAGGATGGAAAGAATTACTTTGGGCTAGGGGGTAAAGGAAGAAGAGATTAGGAGATGAGAGGAAAGGCTTTTTATGGGTTTTGTCCCCGTATAGATAGCAGCAGTCTTTGAAAAATGTATCATTTTATATAGTGTTTGTTATAGTTCTGAGCCTTAGTACCAGTACTTCTTTAACTTGCACAATGTTTTCTATTGTAAAGCATGCATGTCAAAACCCAGAATCTGCACTGTCACTTCCTTATTGTAAATCCGTCTCTGCTACTAAAATTAATGTGCCTGAGACAGTGTAAATTCTTCAGGGTCTTGAAAAACACTTTGAGAACGAAAAAAAAGGTAAGGTAGGAATAATTTTCTAAGGTATGACTATTCTTTTATACTTTTTTAATATTTTCAGTATAATTTTAAAATACTATCAAATGAGCTCTTTATCATCTTCTATCAACAGAAAATTCCAAAAATTACTTACCCTTTTTGATACAGCGTCTGAGTTGACTCAGATCAAGTACTTAAACATTTACATCCTTTGCTAAACCTTAGAGCTTGAAATTGATTAAAACAAAGATATATGAAAATGCTGTTGATTCATTATTAATGGGAAGCACTGCACATTTCATCTCAAATTTTGTTTGGTGTTTGGTCACAATAAAGAAGTAAATCTAAAACAGTATTCAGATGTGAGAAGTATAACAGTAAGTTTTAGTATGCCTTTTATTGTGTTCAAAGGGAATTGTTTGAATTTGAGCTGCAGCTTTAATTTCATGTCTACTACCTGCAGGTATCTTGTTTAAAAAGAAAAAATGAGGTGAAATGAACTAACTAGTGACATTTGTCATTATGCTAACAATAAAATACTTTGATTTAAAGAAGAAAATTTTGTAATAATTGTGTTGATTAAATATTTGAATGGAATCTTCTTAGTGATATTTTTATGTAAAACACCTTTTGTTTTGATGTTAACTGATTTTACTATTTATGTGACAGGTTTAGAAACTTTTTATACATGCACTAATGCTTTAAAATAAGATTAGCGTTTTTTTTTTTCTACATGTAAACTTAATAAGTAAATTAGCAGAATCAATCATTAGGAATTATCCTTATCCCTGTTGTAACATTTGTCACTGTTGTAGTTTTTTCTTGTCTATTCCATTAGACTGAATTCCTTTAAGGTAGAGGACTTTGTCTTATTCACTGTTGTATTCATTGTTCTAAGTTTAGTTAATATTGGAAAGGTTTTAACAATTTTGTATTTTCTTCTCGGCTCTCTTAGCTATTGGTTTGTCTATTATATTTTACTTAAATCATATCTTCCTCTATAGTGGATATTATTGTCTAAATTGTATGTTCCTTTAACTTAATCATGATGAATTCTAATGGTTATTTATTACCATTTAAATAGTCAACTCTTGAGAAGTATATTGACTCAATTTTTTCATTATACTAAGAGTGTAAATAAAAAGTAAAGGAAATTTATTAATGCATTTAAGCAGTTAACAACACAAGCACGTTGTGTAGGCTTTTTACGTGCCTCCAGTCAGTGTGGTAGTTTGAGGGAAATTCTTTTCTTCCCTTAAGCTCTAGTTTTACATCTCAAATATCTGTGATTTCCTCATCCATTAAAATTCTGAGTTCTTCTCCCTAATCTAGATGTGAATTCCTGAAACACATATACAGTACTTTTATAGATTTCAAAGTGCTGTTGATTCATTTAACTAACGATACCCAGTGCTTCCTATGTGCCAAGCACTGTTCTAGGTAAACAAAACAAAGTCCCCACCCCTGACATTAAAGTGTACAGTGTACCATCATGTCTTTCATCATCACTGCGGCCTGTTTAGGACAGATGGCAGTGCTTTGGATTTACTGACAGGGAATCCAACATGGTTCATCTTGTCCTATAAATTTGCTGTGCAAAAGCAACACTTCCGTGTATCTCCAAATTGTTCTGGTTAAGTTTTAGTTTTGACCCTGATTATTACTGCTCTGCATTTGGTGAAATCTGTCCATATCTTCTTCAGTTTTATACGTTTACATCACATATGTACCTTTTTAACTTTGTTCTTTACTAACAGATAAATTTTCACTTAAATTATTTAAAGTCACAGGGGAAAAAAACAAAACAAAACCCCAAACGTGTTGCTGTCGAGTCAGTTCCAACTCATAACGACTCTATAGGACAGAGTAGAACTGCCCCATAGGGTTTCCAAGGAGCAGCTGGTGGATTCCAGCTGCCAGCCTTTTTGGTTAGCAGCCGAGCCCTTAACCACTGCACCACCAGCGATCCAGAGAACCCCTTAAATGAGTCATTGAACGGTTTTGTTTTGGTGGTTATTTTTTTTTTTTTCCTTCCTGCTCTGAAACGCACTTTTCCATTTTCCTCAGTATGCATTTTAATAAAACTTTTCAAACGTTTATTTGCATGACACTGTACTTCCCTGGTTCTTAATTTTCTGACATTTTCACATCCCTATCCTTGTCTCTTCCATCCGTTACCTATGGTTTCTGCAGTGACTCTGTCCTTGGGCATTTTCTCCCTGGATTTGCTCTAAACATTCATATACTTACAGTCTTAAACTACCACTTCGAAGTACTTTGTTTCCAAATTTATGTCCCTATCATGGATTTCTTAACCATTATTTTAGTTTATTTTTAATATTTTAAAGTGTACAATTCAGGTTTTTAGTATAGCCACAGAATTGTATAGCCATTACCATCTAATTCCAGAACATTTTCATCACCCTAAAAAGAAACCTCATACCCGTTAGCCATCAATCCCCATCTCTTCCTCTCTCCAGCCCCTGGCAATCACTGATCTACTTTCTTTTTCTGTAGATTTGCCTGTTCTGGATATTTCATATGAATGGAATTGTACACCATGTGGCCTTTTGTGTCTGGCTTTTATCATTTCGTATAGTGTTTTCAAAGTTCATCCATGTTGTAGCATGTATCAGTACTTCATTCCATTTTATTACCAAATAATAGTCCATTGTATGGATTTACCACATTGTGTTTATCTGTTCTTCAGTTGATGGATATTTACATTGTTTTCACATTTTGGCTACTGTGAATCCTGCTGCTATGAAAATTCATGTACAATATTTTGTGTGGACATATGTTTTCAGTTCTCTTGGGTAAATACCTAGAAGTGGAGGTGCTGGGTCATATATTAACTCTATGTTTAACATTTTGAGGAACTGACAAATTGTTTTCTAAAGCGACTGTACTGTTTTACATTCCCACCATAAATGTATGAGGGTTCAATTTCTCCACTTCCTGGCTAACACTTACTATTGCGTTTATCTAGTAGGTGTGAAGTGTTACCTTGTTGTGGTTTGGATTTGCATTTCTCTAATGACTAATGATTTTGAACATTTTCTCATGTATTTATTGTCCATGCATTACTTTTTTTAGAGAAATGACTACTCACATCCTTTGCCCATTTTTAAATTGAGTTATCTTTTTGCTGTTGAGTTGTAAGAATTCTTTGTATATTCTGGATATAATTCCCTTATCAGTTAAATGATTTGCAAATACTTCTTTCTCATTCTATACGTTGTCTTTTTACTTTCTTGATGGTGTCCTTTGAAGTGCAAAAGTTTTTAATTTTAACAAGGTCCAGCTTATCTATTTGTTTTTGTTACTTGTGCTTTTGGTATCATATCTGAGAAGCCATTGCCTAATCTAAGGTCATGAAGATTCGTTTTAACCATTTTTTATTACTCTCTTACTTGGCTCGCCCATTTATACTTAAAACATCCACCAATATAACTATCACAAGTTTTGTGGGAAAGGTTTATTAAATGTTCTACTTTTTTTAAAATCAGGGTAGTAGCTCTCAGACATTAAGAGTCTCCTGGGATGCTTACTGAAACACAGGTTTCTGGGCCCTACCTCAGACATCCTCAGCCAGCATTTCTGGTTGTGGGCCCAGGAAACTTTATTCTTATGAACAAACACTTCAGGTGATTCTAATGCAGATGGCCCTTAGGTTACTCTTTTTCTATGGCAGCTAACAACAACAACAGTATAAAAAAAAAGTGTTCCAAGTAATTGAGAATACAATAATTTAATTTTGAACAAGTTTTTTGTTGTTAGGAAAAAGAGGTAAACACTTCCGCAATGATTTACTCCTCCCTTTTAAAACTTTTCCATTTTGACCTGTTTATGATGCTCATTTCCAACATGACCTCTTTACTGTAGTGAGAATTTGAAAAATACATTAATGTATAAAGGAAAAAGTAAGAATAGCCTCAGCCAGCTGTATTTCTTCTGTCTTTTGCTTCCTGTACACACATGTGCGCACACACACACACACACCCCTCCAAGTGTAACACACACTCAGATGATTTTTGTACATTTGAAGTAAACTAGGAGACTTGGCATCATGAGATTCAAAGAGTGTAAAATTATGAGTCAGAATCGACTCGACAGCACTGGGTTTGGTTTGGTTAGCATAGTGATTAAGAGCATAGATGCTGTACCCAACCACCTGGGTGTGAATGTTGGCTGTCACTTCTTAGCTGTATGATCTTGAGCAAATCACTTGTTCTCTCTGGGCCTTTACTTCCTCCTTCAAAGGTTGTTGCAAAGGTTAAAAACCTAATATTTATGAAGCAGTTAGAACAGTTTTGGCAATAATAAGCACCATATACTATAGGGTCACTATGAGTCGGTATCGACTCGACGGCAACGGGTTAGTTACTTTTAGTTTAAGCACCATATAAGTGTTAGCTATTATTATACCCTGTAACTCAGTAATGTCATTTCTATGCACTAAATCTAAGAACATAATCAGAGATGTTGCATAAAGGTCTATTTGTAACAATTTCATCACAGATTAATTGCAAATAATGTATTGCATATATTCAGTAGAGCTATGGTTAAATAAATAAAATTTATGGAACGTCACATAGATATTAATCCTGATGGCCACTGGTTAAGAGCTCGGCCGCTAACTAAAAGGTTGGCAGTTTGAATCCACCAAGCGACCCTTGGAAACCTTACAGAGCATTTCTTCTCCGTCCTATAGGCTTGCTGTGAGTCGACAGCAACGAATTTTTGGTATATAGATATTGTCATATTTTCAAAAATTATGTACGTGATGCCATGGGAAAATGTTGGTGATATAATTTTAAAAGTCAAATATACAACTGTATATAAAGTATGTCTCTAAAATTTTTTAATAATGAGAGGGAATAGAACGTTAGGTTTGTAATACATATAAAGAAATGTTAAACTGTAGACAATGGTTATCCTTGGAAGCTGGCAGGAGTGATTTAAGTTTTCTTCTGTACTTTATTCTACTCTTCTGATTTCAAACAATAAGTACATACTGT